TGTTGGGGCAGGCAGGGTCCGCCCCGCCCCCCACGCCGCCCCCGCCCGACACTGCGGCTGCCTCTTATTGCCCCCCACACCTGCTTTTTGTTGCCTCCCGTACCCTCCCCTCCCCCACCCCGCCCTTCCTCTCGCTGCAGACAAGGCGCAGCAGGCACAACAGACGCAGCACCAGCCGCCGCCGCTGCCGCCGCCGCCGCAGCAGCAGCACCTGGCGTGGTCTGGCCGCCACTCGCCGCCCGGCCCTGTACTGCCTGCGCTGCTGTCCAGCACCCTTCCGGGACACCCCGGTTATGCTGACATGGCGATGGCAGCAGCGGCAGCAGCAGCAGCAGCGGCAGCGGCAGCGGCAGGAGCAGGAGCAGCAGCGGGAGCGGCGGCGGGGTGGGAGCCTGGGCTTGGCGGCGGCGCCGCGGTGGGCGGCGGTACCGGTGTGGTGGCTGCCGCCGCGTTTGGCGGCGGCGGGCTCAAAATATCGGGGGGCGGCCCCAGCGCGCACAGCAGCCACGGCGCCTGGGGCCACCCCCCCGCCGCCGGCGGCGGCCCTCCGGCGGCGCCGCCCTCGGCGCAGCAGCTGCTGGGAAGCTGGCGGGCCGCCGCCGCCACCGAGCCGCCGCCGCAGCCGTGGCAGCAGCAGCAGCAGCAGCAGCAGCAGCAGCAGCAGCAGCAGCAGCAGCAGCCAGGCGAGGCCAGCCCACTCACCCACACCGCGGCGGCAGGCACAGGAGAGGGCTACGGGGGCTTTGCCCCTGCGCCTCACCGCCGCTTTGCCGACTGCTTTCCTCCAGCCGCCGCCGCCACCCCGCCCGTCCTGGGCCCCCGGCAGCCCCCTGCCGCCGCCTCCCCGCGCAGCGCCGCGCCCGGGCGCAGCGGCGGCAGCGGCGCCAGTCCCACCTCGCACGGTCCGGCCTGGTACGACAGCGGCAGCGGTACCGCGGCCTCCCTCCCGCCCGCCGCCGCCGCCGCGGGCCCGCACCCGCAGCCCTGCCAGCCGCCGCTGCAGCCTGGCTTGGACGACGGCGGCGGCGGCGGCGGCGGCGCGGGCGGGGCTGGCTCAGCCGGTTCGGCGCCCGCCACCTCGTGCCACGTCAGCACGAGCGCTGACCTGGCGCACGCTGACCTGGCGCAGCAGCCGCCCCCCGGCGGCCAGCTGCTGCTCACCTTTTCCGCCAAGGTCTGGCCCGCATGCGGCCACACCCGTCCTGCTGCCGCTTTCACTTGTGTGTGTGTGTGTGTGTTATACAGTGCAATGCATCTGGTGGCCCACCACCACCGCCGCCGCAGCCCATGCACCCGTGCCGGCGCCGGCAGCGGCCGCCTCCCTCCCTCCCTCTGCCCGCCACCCTTCCTCTTTGCCAGCGGCCTGCTTGCCCGCGGGCTGGCTGCTGCCGGCCGGCCTTGCTGCTTCCCCCGCCCATGGCGACCCTTGCCGTCACCAAACGATAGCTTTGAAAATAAACCAAACACCAAAAACAAAACGGGCGTGTGTGTGTGTGTGTGCGCCGCCTGCCGCTGCAGATATTCGGGGCGCTGCCCGAGCACCTGCCTCCCGACTTGCGTCGCCAGCTGGAATCAGCGCTAGTGCTGGCACCCACAGTAATGAGCGCCTCCATACGCCCCGGCTGCGTCTGCATCACAGCCTGCACGCTTGTGACGGCGGGCGAGGCGTCATCGGCGGCGGCGGCGCCGGGGGGTGCCGCCGCCGGCGTGGCGGCGCGGCTGGCGGCGGCGTGCGCCGCGGGCGGCGGTCCGGCGAGGGTGATGGTGAGCGGAGGGGTGGCAGGTTTTGGGGGGGCGGGGTTGTGTGTGTGCGTGTGTTTACGGTGTGTGTACAAGTGTGTGTGTGTGTGTGTGTGTGTGCACGCGCGCTCGCGCGAAGTGCCGGCGGTGCATACAAGCGGCACACCATCGCCTGTCGGCCCTGGGAGCCCGCCCCCGCGTTGCGCACGGTTTCAAAGCGCGGCTCTCACCTCGCCTCCTCCGCCCCTTCCCCCCCCCGCTCCCGCCCTTGCAGTGCCAGTCGGGGCCGCACCTGGCCGCAGCAGACGGCCGCACCGGTACCGTGGCGGTCCTGCCTCTACCGCCTGACAGCACCGGCGGTGGCAGCAGCAGCGGCGGCAGCAGCAGCTGCGGCGGGAGCGGCTGCAGCGGCGGCGGCGCCAGCCCCGTGCCCACTTTACGCCTGGCATCGCCGCCCGTGGTGCTCGCGCCCCGGTGCACCGCTGGCAGCAGCTGCAGCGGCTGCAGCGGCTGCGCAGGAGGCGGCGCGGCGGGCGTGGTTCGCGCGGTGCTGATGGGGTGGGGGCTGGGCGCGCCCGGCGCCGTCCTACACTGCCGCAGCCGCGGGCGGCACATTGTGATGACTGTGCTGCGCGCCCGCAGCGGCGGCAGCGGCGGCGGTGTTGACACCCTTGCGGCGCCGCCAGCAGCAGCAGGCGCTGCGGGGGCAGCAGGCGCGGCAGCCGCGGCGGCGGCAGGGGCGGCGGATGCCGGTGCGGAGAGCTCCCACCCCCCGCCAGCCAGCCACCAGCGCGTGCAACGCAGTGCGGGGGAGAGCTGCGGCGCAGAAGAAAGCGCGGGGGAGGAAAGCGCGACGGAGGCGGCGTACGAGGGGCTGCGGCTGGCGGCGGGGGAGGGCGCGGCGCTGGTGGAGGTGGCGGTACCTTCCTGCCAGCTTCCGCGGCACGTGCAGCAGGCGCCGGCGGATGCAGGGCAGCTTCTATGCGGCGCCTGGGGGCTGTACGAATTTGAGCTCGCTCTTGGTGAGTGGGCCTGGCGGTGCTTTCCACCTGCGTGGCGATGCTTTCCACCTGCCGCCGACACGTGGCTGAGCCGCCTGGCTGTCTGCTTCCCCGGTGTGGCGTGACGTGGCGTGGCGGCAGCTTGGGGGCGCCACAGCTTAGCAGCCGGTGCTGCCTGGCCTCACAACTTCCTTTTTGTTCCTCCCCCACATGCAGGCCCCCTGCTGTCCCCGCCGGCCCCGCTGCTGGTACTGCCCCGGCGCGAGGCCGCTGCCGCCGGCGAGCTTACAAAGCTGCCGTCGGCGCTCGCGGCCGGCGGCGGCAGCTGCCAGGAAGGCGCCGCCGCGTTTGTCCAGCAGCTGGGCTTCCTGCTGCACGCTGTGGAGATGCACGGCAGACCACAGCAGGCACAGCAGGCGCAGCGTGGGCTGCACCCCCAGGCCACGCAGCGCGTGCGCCGCCTGGCGGCCGCCCTGGCGACCCGCTGCGCCGGCGCCCTGGGCTGCCCTGCCACCGCCCGCCTGCTGCTGCCTGCCGTCACGCTGGGGGCGGACCTTGGCGGCAGCCGCATCGGCGGCGGCCGCAGGGGTAATGGCGAATGCAAAGCTGCGCCGCCCACGCCGGCTGGCGGCGGCGATGCCGGCATTACGGCAGACGAGTGGCGGGCGGTGGAGCGGCTGGCGGGCCTGCTCAAGAAGCAGCAGCAGCTGGGGCCACCCGCCTCCTCCGTGGCGGCGCCTGCAGCGGCGGCGGAGCCGCCACCCCCGCAGCCGCTGCGCCGCCACGTGGTGGCCGACTGGTTTTGGTCGGGCTGCAATCTGGTGGCAGGCGCGGCGGCCCTGGTGCTGCTGCTGCGCGGCTAGCCGTAGCCGGGCTGCCCTGTGGGCCGTCCGCCGGCTCGGCGCACCATTCCTATGCCCGTGCATGTTATGCGCTTGCAACGCACGGGCCCTCTCTTAGTTTAACTTCCTACCCTATTTCTCCCATTTTTCAACGCCTCGCCCATATCCCCCCATTCTTTGGCCGTGCGGGCAAGGTGTGCGCGCCCCCGCGCGCCGCGGCACTCTGCTGTGTGCCTGCTCACGCCTCCTTGGCCCCCTCGTGTGCCGCCTCCCCGCAGCGCACGCCGGCGGCGGCGCCCTCCTTGTTTATTTTATTCTTTCCTTCATATCTTCGATTCCCTTTCCAGCAGCACCACGCCTGCGCCTGTCCTGTTCAGTAGGGCAGACGTTCAATAGGGTGGGAAGTTCCCGCCCGCTGCCAGCTCAGCGACGAGCGCCCTGCACCTGCCTGCACCGCGGCCCCGCCTGCACCTGCCGCCCCCTGCACTGCGCAGCGCCGGCGCCATGCCCCAAGCAGCGGGGCTGCAAGCGGCGCTTCTCCTTGTGTGCTGTTCTGAGTGCAGTACCTGCAGTACTGTACCTGTAATAGTATCTGTATGGCCCCATCCTAGGACCCTCATGAGCCAGCAGCTCAATTGTTAAAGAAGGGGGCCTCTGGACTGTGATCCCGGCATCTGCCGACGCCACGTGCCGACGCTGCGGCAGCGTGCACAGGGACGCACGTGCCGCAGAGCAGCTTTTCGGGATGCACACGGAAAAGGGGGAAGAAAAACAAGAAGAACAAAACTCTCACAGAAACGGTTCTTTGAAACTCTGGGCAGAGGAGAGGGGGGGCGGGGGAGGGGTGGGGGTGCAGACACTGCCAGCAGCCCGACGGCCAGCCAGTGTGTGGGGTCACCAGGCGGCAGCCGCCCTGGATCCGCTCACACACAGAGACGGGGCTGGCAGACCCCGG